CCGGCCCGCGCGGTGGGCTCTGCCCAGCCCCGGTGGGCCCCGCGCGGTGTCCGCCCCGCGGGGCCGCCCCTTCCCTGGCGCGGGCTCCATCCTGCTACCTGGTCCCCGCCGCCGGCCCCTCGCCTAGCCCAGCCGGCCCGGGCTCCGGCCCGGCACTGCTTCTCGCACTGGCGAGCTCCAGGAGGTGGCCAGCGCTTCGCCTCTGCGGACCCCTTTGCGGGACGCGGTGAAAGCGTTTGCCCGTTTGGCCGCAGGAAAACGCCGGGATGAGCAGTGAGGAAGTGACTTAGAAGTTATTAAAAGCAGTTCTGGGACCCAGTATGTGATGGCTGAGGCCATTTTTCTGCCTTGGGCTTTCACTTCCTGGTTAATGCCGCCTTGTCCAGGTTAATTGTACATTTGCATTCCTTTTTGTCCTAATCTCCCTCTGCCCTGTGTCAAAATCTCTTATTTTCCCACATTCTGTAAAAGCCATTTATAAGAATGATATTGCCATGCACTTTGGTACCTAGGTCTACAGTGATAACACTCATGCTAACTTCTGCCTGCCTCTGATATCTTGTTGTGGCTTATTGCATGGCCCTTGAATTCTGTGCATTCAGATTTACTGTATTATAGTATTATGCTAATTTATTTCAGCACACTGATACTTGTTCTGTCGGTGGTACTGCTCACATGCACTTACTCCTTTACGGAAGTACTCATGTTAAACCTTATTAGAAGCCTCCAAACCAAAAAAAAGGTCAGAGACATTAAGAAACCTGGAAACAGGGACATCTTTGGGACTTTGCCTTTATTTACAGTAACAGCTGTTTTGTTTGGTCTTTTTTTTGAAACAGGGTCTCTCACTTTGTAATTCAGCCTAGTTTTGAACGCATTGTGTAGCCCACACTGGCCTCAACTTGTGGCAATCCTGCCTCAGCCTCCCGAGTGCTTGGATTCCAGGCGTGTGCACTCTAATCATCTTAGAAGTTATCTAGGATCTGCTGTCTGCCACATCCTTGTGCTAAGACTTGGTGTATCATTATACCCAAAAGGTTCTTAGGTTTTATGTTGTCCCTTCTAACATACATTCCTCAACCAATTCAGATGTTGACACTGTTTATATGTCAGTATTGTGCTTCCAAAATTGTACAGCCTTTCATGACTCTGTATCACTTTAGCAGTATTAGACCATGTATATTTTCCCTGTAGAAATAGAATTGAAATAATACATGGTTTCTAAATGATACTCCCAATGAAACTTAGTATAATTTTCTCTCTTTAATCTTTGGGGTTTTGAGGGAAACCTTTGCTTTAATAATACATGATACAACCCAAGATTTTGCCTTTTGTTGTTAACAAAGTTACTTAAGGCCTAAATTCAGAAAGCTGTGCTTTGTTTTTTCTGGAAACTGAGGATTAAGTAAGTTTGGAATCAGGGACTAGAGAGGTCCTATGTGTTTCAGCACTGTAGTAATTTCTGTGGTCTCTGGGTTCCCACTCCACTCCAGGGTTAGTGTTTGGCCTTCTGGACCCTCTTGTTAAAGGGGGAGGTGAATCTTGAGGGCAGGTACCTGTGCCTACCATGCCACAGGTGAGAGAAGTGATGAATTCTAGGGTACGTTTGTATTTTACTATCTGCCTTTGGTTTTAAATAATAGGCTGCTGAGGGAAATGAAACTGCTTTCTGTTAAAATTCTAACTTGAGTGAAATGTTTGGTCTGCAGGCCCAAGCTCTTCTCTTGGGTCATTTTGTGTGGTGAACCAGGAGGTGCTCTGCAGGGTTCTGTCAGCACCAGGGCTGAGGAGGCCTCCACTCTCTGGCTCAGGTGATTCAGCGCAGTGGCCTGGGGCGCTCTCTGGCCTTCAGTTCTTCGGAGTGGGATAAGGGGCTGTGTCACCAGATAATGGGAGCAGAGTGCTTTGAGATCATCAGATAAAAAACAGCTCATAAAATCAAGTAGCTGGTATTATTTTGCTACTGTCATCAACAGAAATAATTGTTACTCTCAATCTTGCTGCCTTAGGTGGGGCCCAGTTTGCTTCCTAGGAGGCCAGTGGAGGCCGAAACAGCTGTTGGACTGGGAGGAAGAGGCCTAGTCCCCATGGTGGACCCAGCTGCCTAGAGGGCATTTTATGTTGAATGCAAGAATATTTCTCACCCAGGTCCTTAGCAGGTGATTCTGGGAGGCCAGAAATTGGGCTTTAGTCTCTTCAGGGATATAACTAAAAAGCAGACAGGAGTGAGAGACACACACACAGAAAGAAAATAGAACTTGTTGTCCTAATTTTAAGGTTACATTTTTCATTGCAGCAATAAATGCTCTTTTTGCACAAAGGGAAATCTCTGTTCTAGAACTGCCCCTCATGCTGTGCTCATGTTTGATTTTATGTCTTGCTTTTTATATTTACGGTATTTGTCACAGGTGAGATGGGCCTCTTAGAAGAGCTTGTTCTTAGATGACGTTAGGCCAGGGAAAGCCTTGCTCCCTCCTACCTGGCAGAATAGCACTTAGGAGGGAGAAGGATCCAGGTCCATTTTTCTCCGTTTGCTGTCCTTTCCCACATGCATAGAAGGGAAGAGGAAAATCTTTTTTTTTTTTTTTTTTTTCCAGAAGGAGGTTTTTTAAGTGAGTAGCCTGTGGGGATGGGGCATTGCTGTGGTTTAGAAATGCCCGGGAAGTTTTCTTGGTAAACATCCTTGTTTTTCTCCAGGTGAGGCCCTGTAACCCAGCTGAACTCCACATCTGCAGAGCCCCAGCTTGAAGACAAAAGATCAGAGAACTTGAGAAACCTGGGAACAGGGGCATCTTTGGAGCTTTGCCTTTATTCACAGAAGTCTGAAAGTACCATCAAGTAGAAGTTGTGTCTTCGTCCTCTTCTGCTTACTGGGAAGAACATGGCTTCAAGGATTTTAAGTTTCCATTTAGTTTTGCATGAACTCTGTGGGAAACAGAGCCCTTAACAGGGTCAGGAGTAACAAGCAGAGACTGAAGACGGTCAGGTTTGCTCCGTTTTCCCTCCCCCTCCAAAGGAAAGGATTTACAACTCAGCCCTGTAACAGCTGTTGTCCAGTGTTGGCCGTCAAGAGAGAAGTAAATAAAGTTAAGCTGCCGGTGCCAGACTGCAGGGCCTGGTGAAGCCGTGTGGGCGTGGTGGCCTCGGGAGGCTGCGCAGGACAGGACTGCAGGCAGGGCAGCGGGGCGCACCTTCAGGGCACAGCCTCGGGGGCACTGCCGGTGCTCCCCTCGGAGCTTCTTGGTGACTCTGACCCCCAACCCCGTCCTCCTTTCCTGGGAAGCCCCACCTCCACGAGCTGCCCTGCGGCCTGCCTGACTGCGCTCGCTCGCCACCTGCTCCACCTGCACCTCCCTGCTCCGTGTTCAGACTGCTGCAGCCCCATCTCCTGATCTGCCGCCGGCCTTGCTCCAGGGAGGCCGCTTCTCAGGCTGGGAAGTCGCCTTTCCCCCTCCCGTGCACCTTCCCTCTTCCAGGACCTGTTGAGCTGCCGTGTTCTTCGGGAGGGGGAGGGTGGCGGCTCTGCGTCTCCGGCCTCCCCTGGTTGGCGACCTCCCTGCTGTCCCCCTCGCCCCGTTTCTTGTCTGTCCTGCCGCCGGTGTGCCTGGGCTATGCGGCAGGGCAGCTCTCCCTTCACAGCTCCAACATGCCCTCAGAGTCCGGAAAGAGATTCAAACCCAGCAAGTATGTCCCGGTGTCCGCGGCTGCCGTCTTCCTAGTGGGCGCCACCACACTCTTCTTTGCCTTTACGTGAGTTTCCCCTGGTGGGTGGGGAGGCCCTGGGAGGTAGAGAGGGTGCTCTCCGCCCCCCGTGCTGTGGTCACTCGCGGAGCCGAGAGAAGTGCAGGGTGAGGAGAGGCCTGTCCTTCCGGCTGTGTTACACGCCCGCTCCCTGACACTCCTGCTTCGAGTCCCCTTCCTCGGGAGCCGTCCGCGCCTCCCTGCAGTGCCTCCTCCCCACTCATCGTCAAGTAGGTGCAGGCGGTGGGAGGAAGCCACCAGGAGGCTCACAGCAGCATAAGCAGTCAGTCCTGTGGGGAGGACAAGAGGCGAAAGTCTTCTTCATGGGAGTGGCTTTCCCCAGGTTGTCTGGAGCTCAGGTCCGAGGTTGTGGAAGCAGTGCTGGAGAATCTCAGGTGGATGCGCTGGGAGATGGAAGCCAGGGCCTTCACACTCAGCTACACCCCTAAGGCCTCTTTCATTTCTTGGTACTGGGGATCGAACTCAGGACCTTGCACTTGCCAGGCAGGAGTGGTGCCACTGAGCTGCATCTCTGGCCCTCCCTCTAATTTCTTTTAAATTTTTTTTTTTTTTTTAATTTTGACACAGGGTCTGGATAAGTCAGTGAGTTGCCCAGACTGGGCTTGAACTTGTGCTCCTCCTGTCTCAGCCTCCCAGGGTGCGGGGATCACAGGTGTACACATGTGGCTTTCTGTATTCTTCTGTAAGCTCTGAGGCCTGGGGAAGTGAAGTCCAGTGGGAAAGGCCTCACTTGACGGAAGGATTCCCTGCTTAGGGTCTAGGGTCTGCACCTCTCCCAGCTGGGGCCTCCAGACCTGGTCTGCCTGTCTGCTGCTGTCTTGTTGCTGCCAGGGTAGGGATGGGCCGGTGCCAGTCTTCCAAGCCCTGACCCGCTGAGTCACTGAGGTGGCCCTCAAGCTGGGGCTCTCCCAGGGATCAGAGCACACCGGCTCTTCTGGGAAGTTCCTTGTGGTGCGGTTCCAGCTCCCCCCTAATGATGAGGCTCTGCTGAGCTGCATGAGGTTGCTGGGAAGAGGAAGAGGATGGAGTGACAGGGGCGAGAGCAGTTTGGACTCACTGAGGCCGGAGTGAGGGGTGTGGTGGCCAGTTCCGCGGAGGGACTGCCCAGTGTGGCCAGAGTGAGGAAAGTTGCTGGTGCCCTTCTCTGGTTTTTAAACAAGGAAGGTTACTCTGTCCCTGGTGTGGTGTCTGCCATCAGCCCGCTTCCCATCTCCTGCCTGGAGTGCAGAAGTCCTAGATGTTGCGGCCCAGCTCCTAGTCCCTCCAGTCCCTGCCGGGTCCCTCAGGGTCTGGAGATAGCCCTGCTCCCCCCCGCCTGGCTTCTTTCCTTCAGTCTTTCTCAGCCTGTTCAGCAGCCTGCCCTCCGCCATCGACTGCCCTGCCGGTGACGAGGTGTGAGGTCTGTGTCTGCACTTGCCTCTGCTTTTGCTGCGTGGCCAGGAGGCAGCGTCACACTCCTGACCGGGGCTTGCTGGGTGTCCTCGTGTCCTTGTGGCAGTGTGGGGCTGGGCGGGAGGGTGACCCGGCCTCCCCCCAGGCCCTGCCCTGGTAGGCCAGCGGAGCACCCCCCCCCCCGCCCCCGGGAGGCCGGGGTGGTCAGGGACAGTGGCGGCTCTCCCTCCACGTACCCCGGTCCTAAGATGGGCATGCAGAGCCCTGTGCTTAATTTGCTGATCTGGAACCTTGCGGTGCTTGGCTGGTTATACCAGTTTGCCCACAGCGCTGGATGGACATAGGCATTTTCTCAACTGATGGTTGAAGGTACTTAACCTACTTTGCTTATTCTCTGGTGCCAGTAAAATAGGGGCCCTCCTCCTGTGGTCTCTCGGCCCCAGGAGAAAAGATTTCCCAGACGTTCTTGTTGCTAACATGCGTTTGCGGTACGCAGTACTTGATTACATTCATTCCGGGTTGGAGGAGTTACTGACCCAGTTGGAGAGCCGTGGGTCTCGGGTGAAGTCCCCACTGGTGTTGGCTTTCGCCTCCCCTTCTCCCCGAGGTCTCCGGCCCACCTCAAGTCTGTCCTCACCCACCATGCTCCGCATCTCATCTCTCTGTCCGACCATAGTCTCTGAGCCCGTGTCTAGCCCAAGGTGCTCTTATTGCTCTGTGGACCCTGTCCCTTTTGGGTGCAGTTCTTTGGGGCACTCCTTGATGAAGACTGTAGACAGCCTCAGAAAGTGTCGCTGGGTTCAGATTGCACTGAGCCAGCTCCTGGGAGGGTCTTGAGTCTGCCCTGCCCGTGCCCTGCTGTTCTCTGGCTCTGGCTGCCCTTCCTCAGGGGGGCAGGCTGAGGTGGGAACTCTGGGGCCTGGAGGGCTGGGAGCAGGAGGTGTCTCTTAGCGGGCAGACAAAGTTAGTGAGGCACGCAGGCTCCAGCTAATTAGGAACAGCTTACCCTCCATGTTTGTCAAGTGAGGAAAGCTCTGAGCAGGGATTGCCTTTGGGCTTGGCTGCCAGAGAAATGGTGATTTTCTTCTGCCCAGAGAAGTTTGGATAGAACAGTTGAAGTCTTCCCCCAGAGCTGGCGCTGGCCCTCTCTTCCCTGAGTCTGTTCAGGGCTGCCCCGAAGCAGGAGTTGTGGAGGTCCTGTCCATCTGGGCAGAGTAGACCGGATTCTGCGGGGAAGGTGAGGCGGCCGCGCCCCCTCACGGTGTTCAGCTGACTGCTGTGGCTGGCCGGGGCCAGTGTGAGTGGGGGCAGCAGTCGGCGGTCAGGGCCTGCTTTCGCTAGGCTGTCTGCCCTGGTGGCCCTGTGCTCTTCCTCTCTCAGTGAGGAAGTTGAGGCTGAGCAGCTGAGGTGGGCAGTGTAACACTTCTTCAGAAGAGACCTTACACTGAGCCCCGCGTGAAAGGCAGCAGGTGGAGGTGCTGTGGTCCACACGAGGCCAGCGCGTAGGGACCCAGCCTCTTGGTGGCTCCTTGGGGGCCCCTGAGACCTCAGGGCTCCTGGCAACCCTACTTGAAGTCACCAAGCAGATCTTCCTGGAGTCCTCCAGCTGCCAGTGAGGTCACTGAGGGCTGTGCGGTTTCTCCAGCTCGAGGTAAGAACTCTGCTCCCAGTGAGCCTCTGGGCCAGAGCTCCAGCTCCTCTGGAAGCCTCGAGCACCTTTCCGGGATCCCGATGGCTTTCGGTTTCTGTCTCTGGCCCCTTCCAGCCCTTTTACCCACCGAGTGGGGCAGCCTCAATGTCTCTCCCTGTTGTCTTTTCCGTGATTGCAGAGGTGCTAGCTCCTGATTGGAGTGGGAGTGGCCTCATGCCGTGGGCCATTCATTAAGGCACGAGGTGTTGTTCCTTGCTTTCCCACATGGTTTCGTGCCCAGGCCCTGCCTCTCGCATGGGTTGGTGGGAAGTCTAGCTTCCAGAAGCACCATGGCAAGTGGGGCTGGGGCTTTGTTGTTAGTGCCTAATTTGGTTTGGTTTTTGAGATTGCATCTCACTGTGCAGTCTGGGGGGCCTTTAACTTGCAATCCTCCTGCCTCAGCCTCCCACATCCTGGGATGATGGGCCACGCCACCATGCTTGGCCTTTTTCTGAGACAGAGTCTTGCTCAGGCTAGCCTCCAACTTGTGATTGCCCTGCCTCCTGCACGCTGGGATTATAGGCATGCACTACCCTGCCTGGCTAGCAGGCAAGTCTTTTGAGAGAAACTTGTCCCCAGGATGAAGGGAAAATGTTTTCCCATAGAGCAGTGACAGCAACCCTATCGCCCGTGTGCCACAGCAGGCTGTTTGTGTCATTGACAGCCCTGCCATGCTCGCTGTTGTGGACTGTCATAGAGTCTTGAGAAAGCCTCCTAGAAGAGGGTCCCCAAGGGCAGGAAGTGAGTCGTTCACTCCAGCCTTTCCTGAGAGTGAGGAGCAGCATGCCTGGCATGGGCGGGACTCGAGTCCTGCCCGCCAGAGGAGTTTAGCCCTGTCCCAGCGTGTCCTTGAGTCCCAGCACCGTGGCTAGGGGAGGTGGAGTCTAGGGGAGGTGGAGTCGGTACAGGTGGGGCTGCAGTAATTGGTGACGATGCTGATAACTAATAACCCGTGTGTCAGGGCAGTGCAGCAGTGTGCAGCAGTTGCAGACCCTCTGTCTTCTGTTTGTCTTGTGTAGTGGAAGTGATGAGCTTGAGAGTCGCGTTGGTTACGCAGGGCTGCACAGTGAAGCAGTATTTGAGACTGGATTAAAAGCCAGCGCTCCTTGTGTCTACTTTGCTTTTCTTTCTAGGAACTTTATTTTTTTACAGTAGGGAGTGTTGGGGGTAGGTTTCAGGACTGGATATCGAGGCCTCCTCCCGGATCCCCTCTGGCCTTGGGACAGAGTGCTGAAGAACCAGTTCTGCCCAGGACGAGTTAGCCTGGGAACCCTTCATGACTCAGCCAGCCTTCTGGGCCGCTCCCGCTTGCAGGTGCCCTGTGATTACGGAGTCTGAGGACAGGTCCTGGCAGCTCCCTCTAGATGGGCCACCTCCCCCACCACAGGCAGCAGACTCACAGGCCACTGGTGCGGTCACTCAGTGTCACTCAATGTCTCAGCGCTGCGGCAGAGCAGGGCTGCAGTGGGCCCACGCCCCACAGTGACACCCACGGCCTCAGCCAGTCCTCAGGAGCTTGAGTCACTCTTGTCACTTGTAGTAGATGCTGCCACCATGGAGGAGGCTTTATTTCGGCAACAGATGCTGGAAGTGGGTTCCAGGGTCACACACGGGAGTTGGGATGGGTTGGTCCGAGAAGCCTGGAGGGCAGGGCTCCTCACCAGCTAGGCTGGCACTGCACCTGACCGCCGGGTGAGGTGCTGTGTTGGGAGGCAGAGCTGTGGAGCGGGGCCAGAGGCCAGAGCCTCGCTCTTAGTCACTCCCCTGTTTCGCCCTGGCTGGAAGCTCCCAGCTTGTTTCTGTTAGAGGTCAGGCCGAGGTGGTCACGGTGGCCAGTGCTGGGCACTTGAAGTCCTAGGCACCTCTGTGCCCTCAGGGTTCCTTCTGAGAGCCTTCCCAGCTGTGGGGGTGCAGTGAGTCCCCCCTCTCCTCCCCAGGTGGAAATTGAAGTGCAGCTAAGTGCTTGGGAGGACCGGACTTAGATGTCTGGTGTCTAGCTTCCCTTCCTGAGGCGGCGGGAGGGCCAGCCCTGGGCGTGCGCCCTGGCAGAGCTGAGAACTCAGAGGCCCGGCTTCACTGTTTTGTCTCTCAAGTACAGTATGTATCAGAGATTCAAGGGGTGACTGATATTTACCACTTTAAAAGCTTGGAGCATAGTACATACTTACTCAAAATGTTTTTAAATCAGTGGCTGAATGGGATTTGGTAAAGTAGATAACGGCAGTGCAGGTTGTGGGGTGCTTTGTGGCATTTCTGCCTCTTTCCTTGGCTTTTGGTTAACTGTGTTTCGTTAGGGAGTCAGGGCCTCCAGACCTCCCTCCCCAAGTTGCTGTGCCGGATTGCGCTTCTGGTTGTGAGGGGACAGATCGAGGTCTCCGCACAGGTGTTCTGTTCTCCCGGCCCGTCTTCTTTCCCTTCAGCTAGCTCTTCTTCTGGCCGGTCCAGACCTTCGGCCTGAGGACAGATGCTGCCCTGCCTGGAGATTAAGTTCTCAGCTGCAAGCAGATTACTGGGTTTGCCCCATCTTGGCAGTGGGAAGTTGTGCATGAGGCAGGAGAAGGGGCATTTGCTGCTGCTCACACCTTCAGCTCCCAACAGAAGTTCTGACCCTGGCCGCCGGGCCTGCCACTCCTCCGTTTGCACCCCGAGTGCCCCACCCTAGACAGGCTTCTTTGGTTTTAAAATCTGTTTCTCCCCATCCATGCTCTGTGCTCCGCTCCACTCCGAAGTCTAGAGGCTGGGAACTTCGATAGTGACTCTCATCCCATGTTCTTTTAAATTCCCTGCCATTGAGTAAGACCCAGGAATACCTGACACGGTGGGGAAAGTGGAGGTGCAGAGGGCGTGGAGAGGCAGATGCAGGGGAGCCGAGTGCAGATCAGTGGGATGTGGCCAGGCTCCAGGCAGAGCGGGATGGGATCGGCTGGTTCAGTTACCTCCCCGTCCTGACCCTAGTGAGGAGATAAGGACGCTTTGTAAAATATGTGGAAGACAGAGGAGGAGGAACCGGAAGAGCCAGCCCTTGAGCGAGGGCTTCCGGGATTCCGCTCTCCCTCCTGCTCATTCTAATGAGCCTTTCGGGGACCCTGGGCCTCGTGGTGGGCAGGGTGAAGGTGGTAACTGGGTCAGCACGTGGAAGCCGTGAGAGATTTATGTGTGCAGGTAGGGGTGAATCTTTTTTTTCCTCCTCTCTTTTTTAGTACTGTGTCTTTGTTACTTTTTATTTTGAGACAGGATCTCTCATTTGGCCAGTTTGGCTTGAACTTGTGATCCTCCTTCCTGTGCCAGCCTCCCGGGTGCTGGGATTGAAGGTGTACAGCACCATACCTGCTTTAGCGGCTGAATCCTGACAGGTTTTTGAGTATGGTTTCTGTCCCTCACTTTGTGTGTATTCTCGTGCAGGTGTCCAGGACTGAGCCTGTATGTGTCTCCTGCAGTGCCCATCTACAATGCCATTATGTTTCTCTTTGTGCTGGCCAACTTCAGCATGGCCACCTTCATGGACCCAGGGATTTTCCCTCGAGGTAAGATCTCCCTCCAAGCTCCTTGTGGCCTTGGGTAGACATGGTGGATCTTGGGCCTTCGGAGTCCTAGGATTGTGGGATGCTTCTGTGGTCTGAGGATAGCAATCAGGGCAGGGTTTTGAGGAGTAGATGTTATCGCTTCTTCTGTTTTACTCACTTGGGGTGAGGCCTTTGCATTTTTAGCTCTTTACTCAGTAGGATGGTGTTTAGCACAGTGTTGCTGGGTACAGGAGTTCCAGTGGTGTCTTAGTCCTTATAGCAGTGGGACGCACACTCTAAGGGAGGCACGAGCACGCTCTGAGGATACAGGAAGAGGACAGCGGGTCTGCAGGGAGACTGAGGCAGTGCCACTGAGAACGGGTGGGAGAGTCCCACGTGGAGGGGAGGGCATTGTCTCCTTCTGTCTTTCAGACTGGGTCTCAGTGTAGTTCAGGCTGACCTTGAAGTCAGTCTGCATCTCAGGCTGGTCTCAAACTTGTGATCTGGCTGCCTCAGTCTCCTGAGTGCTGGGATTGCCTGTGTGTCACCACACCTGGCTAGGGAGAGGCGTTATCACACCAGGGAGGCGGTGTAGACAGAATCTTGTAGCTGTGAGATGTGAACTCAGTGGGGTTGAAGGGTACAGGGCATGGCAAGACCCAGCAGAGGCAGGAGGGAACCCAGAGCCACGCTGCAAAGCACCATGAGCTAAATTAAGTGTTATGCGGTCGGTTAGGTGACGTCTCTTCCTTTGACATGAAGCGGTGTCGAGGTGGAGGATTCGGGAGATCAGATTTCCTTTCGCAAAAGTAATTCTTGTAAGAAAGGACAGATACCTTCTAGGTGGCTGTGGTGATAAATGATACAGACCAGAGGAGAACTCAGCTCAGGCATGGATTTAGAGATTTGTTGTGTGAGGACTTTGGACTCATAGGGAGGTGGAAGGCAACTCCGCCCCGCTGCCCAGGATGCTGCATGCTGTGCTTGGGTGCTCTGCTGTCGGGAGCCAGGCGGAGCTGGGCCTGTAGTGCTTGGATAGGAGAGGGTGAAGGAATCGTCTGGCAGCTTCCATGTTCCTGACTTGTGCTGATTTTTGGAAACCACAATGTGAGTTATAGGAACGTTGAACAGATCAGATAGGGAAGACAGAGAATACTCTCAGGCATACTTAAGTTTTCTCTTCTGTTTTATATGGTACTGGGGGTTGTACCCCGGGCTTTTTCAGTGAAATTCATCAAGTGTTTTTGTTTGTTTTTTGGGTACCAGGGATTGAACTCGGGTCCTTGTGCTTGTGAGTCAGGCAGCGGAACCACTGAGCTAAATCTCCAGCCCTCTTTTCAGTGAAATACTCCCCACAACCCACCTTTAAATTTTGAGACACCTGGGTGTGGTAGCACACGCCTGTAATCCCAGCACTTAGGAGGCTGAGAAAGGAAGATTGCTGTGAATTCCAGGCCAGCCTGAACTGCATAGTGAGTTCCAGGCCAGCCTGAGCTACACTGCGAGACTTTGTCTCCAAAAAACAAAAAGAGAGAAAGAAAAAGGGAATTTTGAGACAGGATCTCGCTATGTCATTGTCGCCCAGGTTGGAATCCTGCCTTAGGCTGCTAAGGTTACAGGCACGCATCAACACATCTGTTAATTAAAAAAAATTTTTTTTTAGTACTGTGGATTGAACCCAGGGCCTCACGCATGCTAGGCAAGCACTTTAGCACTGAACTACATCCCCTTCCCTTCTGTTGTGTGCCTGTGTGTGTGTGGTGTTAGAGACCTAGCACATGCTAGGCCAGCACTGTACTGCTGAGCTGTACTCCCAGCTCCAGATCTCCCGAACCTGAGGGACTTATGTGACACCCAGGTGGGGTTACCCAGTGGGCAGCTGAGCATTCGGAGTCAAAGAGCAGGGTTTTAAAAGTCTTGGGCCCCGCGGCATTTGAAGCAGTAAGAGTGAGATTGTCTAGAGAAAGTAGAAAGGTTGGGGGAGGCTGAGGCTGGCCTGCTCAGCTGCCACTTTCATAGCACGCCCCTGGCCGGGGGGTGCTGCCGAGGGGACAGTGGGACAGGCTGGGGACTCAGGCAGGTTTGTGAGCTGCTCCTGGCTGGCAGTGTCAAGGGTTACAGAGATTGCCCGTTGTGTGTGTCCAGAGTACTCAGGATCCCCATGTTGAGGGAACTGAGAAGCAATAGGTCATGACAGGAGCAGAGTAGGAGTGTGTGGGTGTACGTGAGGGGAAATGAGGGGCCACTGGTGTCAGTGGGTGTCTAGAAGTAAGCACAGGGTGAAGGGAGTCATGGGGGAAGCAAGGGCTTTCCGGGGTGCAGGAGACCTAGCTGGTTTGTAGGATGAACACAGAAGCAGAGAATAGCACGAGGCGGATGTCGAAGTGTGCAGCTGGGAGTGAGTGTGCAGAGAGGAGGTGCTTGCGGGGCTTTTGAGACAGTTGTGCCCACTGAAGGGTGCAGGCTGACGCTGGGAGGGGAAGGGGGGCAGTCCGGTCAGCAGAGGTGGGCGGAGGGCTGGCCACGCTGGGACAGGGTTCTCTGAGGCTCCCCACATCCCCAGCCCTGCACCTGTGTGATCTGCGGTCCCCGAGGGCAGGGAGCTTTATGTCTCCAAAGCACGGAGTTGAGTGTCCATTCATCCCTCGTTCGTGATCTGTGACGGAGGGCACGGTGATGAGCATGCGGGTGACTGTTTTCGAAAGGTCATTGCTTTCAGATCGCTCTGTCTGGAGAGGAAGCTGGAGAAGCTGCTGCTATGAGTGAATACACAGTGATCAGCTGTAACTGTAATCAAAGAGCTCTTTAGAGCAAGTTCATTCCAGCAGAAGGACCAAAAATGTCAAAATAACCAGCATTTGAGTTTTTTTCCCTTCCAAAGACCCTGTATTTAAAGATTTTTATCCAAGGCAGTGGATACCTGTAGCTATGGGGAGGCAGAGGCAGGAGGGTTGCCTGAGCCTAGATTTAGGCCAGCCTGGGCCATACAGGGAGACCTCATCTCAAAAAGAGAAAATTGAGGGCCGGGGATTTAGCTCAGTGGTACCATGCCTGCCTCACAAGTGCAAGATCCTGAGTTTGATCCCTGGTACCAAAAAAAAAAAAAAAGATTGGAAAAGACTTAATTCATCAGGCTGGGGATTTACCTCAGCGATGCTGCCACCTGCCGTGCAAGCACAAGGTCCTGAGTTCAATCCCTGGTACAAAAAAAAAAAAAACAAAAAAAAAATTTTTTTTGTTTTAAAATTTTGAGACCAGGTCTTGCTAAGTGCTAAGCAGTCACCCAGCCTGGGCTCAAACTTGTGACCTTCTTGCCTCGGCCTCCTAGAATACTGGGGTTATGGGCATTTACCACCACACCTGGCAGTTTTTAATCCCTGCACCATCATTTTCTTTCCCTTGTGTATATCTCCTGGATTAAAAATAAACAAGGGGGCCGGGGATGTAGCTCAGTGGTTCTGCTGCCAGCCTTGCACGTGCAAGGACCCGAGTTCGATCCCTGGTACCAAAAAAAATAATTAAAAATTTATTGGGCCAGGGATTTAGCTCAGTGGTGCCATCGCCTGCCTCGCAAGCACAAGGTCCTGAGTTCGATCCCTGGTACCAAAAAAAAAAAATTTCTCACTATGTGAAATGGGTTGGTTTCCAATCATTGAAAATTGAGAGATAGGCCAGTTAGGGCTTGGACAGCGATCTGTGTGTGTGTGTGTGTGTGTATGGCTGTCTTAGTTATTTTCTTGTTGCTGAGACAAAATACCCGACATTCATAAGGAGGAAAGGTTTATGTTGCTCACAGTTTTAGAGGTTTCAGTCCATTGGGCAGGGTGTGTGGCAGAGGAGAAACAGTCCATGGCAGGCAGAAGGCAGCAAAGTGACAAAGTGTCAAAGAAGCAGCAAGTGAATGGCAGTGACCACAGCAGCCCTCTTTTTGTCCCTGATGTCCTGTCCAGGCTCCCGGCCTTAGGGGTAGCACTCACACCCGGGTGGGCAGCCTTAGTCCTAGCATCACATCCTTAAGCCCGGGCCACCACCGGAAAGCCCCACGTGTGACCACCTGAGGCTCAGGGAACACCTAGACACAGCCGTGAGTGGCCAGATGTGTAACCCCAGCACGTGGGAGGCTGAAGCAGGAAGATCATTGAGTGAAGCCAGCCTGGGCCACGTAGTGAGACCCTGTCTCAGAGAAACACAAGAAAAGGAAAACACTGTGTGTAAGTGGGACTGCTGGAGGGGAGCCACAGGGCAAGGGCCGTGTGGGGCGAGGCTGGCCGAGTCCTCTGGTTGCCACCCTGCAGGTCTCCGGTTGTGCGGGCGCCCGTGTGTCCGTGATTGTCGCTGTTAAGGGCGGCCCTGCTCTGTGGGCAGAGGGTGGCCGTGGCTCTCAGCCCCTCCGCTGAGTCACTTTCTCTCAAACTTCAGTTCCTGCCTGGTTGACAGCTGCTCCCGGGTGCATCCTGGTCCCTTGGCTTCTCCCCCATCAGGCTGAAGTCCTCCAAGGCAGAGGCATATTGCATTTTACTTTTTCCACTTGGTGTAGGTCTGCTCAGATTATCCATTGTTTGTCTCTTCATTTTTGTTCTCACTGGCACCCGTTTGCAGTCCCCGATGTTTTTTGTTTTGTTTTTTGGTTTTTTTTTGGTACTGGGGATTGAACTAGGGTCTTTGCGCTTGCGCAGCAGGTGACAAAACCACTGAGCTAACTCCCCGGCCCTGCAGTCCCCAATGTTTACGTTCCCTGTGTGCAGTTGGAGAGGTCGCGTTTTCAATACCATTTGTCCCTGGCTGGCACTTCTGCAGTTTTCGCCATAGCTGTGTTTCAACCGGCTTTTCCTTTCTGTAGCGGAGGAGGATGAGGACAAAGAAGATGACTTCCGCGCTCCCCTCTACAAGACCGTGGAGATCAGGGGCATCCAGGTGCGCATGAAGTGGTGTGCCACCTGCCGCTTCTACCGCCCGCCGCGCTGCTCCCACTGCAGCGTCTGCGACAACTGCGTGGAGGTGAGTGTGCCGCCGGGCCGGGGCCTGCAGGGTCACAGGAGGGATGCTGGCTGTCCCCGAGGGGCGGGCACTGTGCGGAGCCGCGGACTCTGCTCTCACCTTGCGCAGGGTCTGGCCGAGAATGGGCTCCGGCTTCCAGCTGTAGCTGGATCTCTCTTCCTAGACGCTCCTCTGCGTCCTTTGGGTTTTCACCTTCCTTTGGCTGACTTGTGAGCAGCTGCCTGCCACATGGCCCTCCCAAAGCCTGTCTTCCCCGAATCTGGAGTGGTGGCGGTGCGAGGCCTTTGGCTTTTGCTCACACAAGATGAACTTGAGAACTGGCCTTGGCCTTTGGCCGCCCTCCCCAGGGTCTCCCTCAGCCAGCACTGAGACAAGCTGCCTGTGCCTTGTTAATATTGCTACTAAATGGCTCACTCAGCAGCGCCCCGCCTCGCCTCGCCTCAGCCCTGGGCCCGGCCTGGCCCTGCCCTGCCCTGCCCTCCCCAGGCCAAGGGCACAGGGTTCCAGGAGTGCCTCTCAGGGTGTTCTTTCCGCCCTAGGAGTTTGACCACCACTGCCCCTGGGTGAACAACTGCATCGGGCGCCGGAACTACCGCTACTTCTTCCTCTTCCTCCTCTCCCTCACAGCCCACATCATGGGCGTGTTCGGCTTCGGCCTCCTCTACGTCCTCTGCCACTTGGAGGAGCTCTCAGGGGTCCGCACGGCTGTCACGTATCCTTCAGGCCTGGGGTTGTGGGTTGGGTGGAGAGGAGGGAGGGAGCCAGCCAGCGGAAGGGGCTGGGGAGGCGGCTCCACTCAGGCCACGCTGTGCCCTTGTCCTTGACTGCTTGGCGTCAGGATGGCAGTGATGTGTGTGGCGGGCTTGTTCTTCATCCCTGTCGCAGGGCTCACTGGATTTCACGTGGTGCTGGTGGCCAGGGGACGCACAACCAACGAGCAGGTATGGAGCCGCAGCTGGGTGGCAGCATGGGCGATTTCATAGGCAGGAGCAGCCTCAGGAGGGACGTGGCCTCATCCTCGGGCGTGGGTGCAGGGCCCCCTTAGTGCCTGCTGCTGCTGGGCAGGCTGCCCGACCCTTGCCTTTGTGCACACAGCAGCGGCCAAACTGAATGGATCACCCAGTCTGTGCAGCCGCCCCATGTCTTTGCTGTGTGTTTGGGAGTCCAGCCAGCCACAGAGGGCGGGGGGTGTGACTCCGAAAGACACTGTCTGTACCGGACACACTCCTAATACAGCGTACGACAGCTGTCAGGTGTCGAGGGTGAATGAGGTGTACAGACCCTGTGCCACTTGATACAAGGACAACTGCAGTTTCCTTACTGTTTGGTATCTGGAAAATGATCCCATGTCACCTAAGCAAACTGATGTTCAGGGTCAGACACTGCCCCTGAGGTGGCTGGGATTCGAACTGAGGATCCTGAGCCTGAGTCCCTGTCTGTAGCCATCACACGTTTAAGCTTTTTGATGGTCGCTGTGCATTCTGCTTATTTTTGCACCCCCAGAGTAACTTGCTGCTGAGATGCTTTGGCCTCAAGGAGTGACTGGTTTGTCCTCTCTCCTGTCCAGGTTACGGGTAAATTCCGGGGAGGTGTGAACCCCTTCACCAACGGCTGCTGTAGCAACGTCAGCCGTGTGCTCTGTAGCTCTCCGGCACCGAGGTACACCGGGCCAACCCCCCGGGTGTGTTCTGGGGGGTCAGTGTCTGGAGCCTGCCGGGGAGCGGTGTTCTCCAGGACCCTGTGCTCAGCTGGGTGAGGGGATGCGTGGATGGTGGATGTGCCAAGCCTGACAGGGTGGTGGTGGTTTTTGGTGTGAGGATCAAACCCAGGGCTTTACCTGTCACTGGGCCACTCCTGGCGAGGAGTGTTGCATTGGGCAACAAGTAGGGTCTTTTGTATTTTTTGGTGGTTGTTATATTTTATTTTCCAAATAATACTCCTTAAAGATATTTACACACCTACTGTTAAGTCCATAGGTTAGCAACCTTCTTTATATGGCTTTAAAAGTTATAGCACAAGATGTTTACATTAAGGATTGGGGAAAAGATTCAAAACAAAGTCTGATATATACATGTTTTTCTCTGTGCTTTATTTTAAACACATTCATTTTAATTTTTTAATTATTTTATTTATTTTTTTGTACTGGGGATCGCACTCGGGAACTTGCGCTTGCGAGGCAGGCGGCAGAACCACTGAGCTAAATCCCCAGCCCTGTTTACTTTTTGAGATGGTCTTGCTCTGTAGTTCAGGCTGACCTCGAACTCATTATGTAGCCCAGGCAGTCTCAAATGCAGTGATCCCCCTGCCTCAGCCTCCTGAGTCCTAGGATTACAGACTCACGCCACCATGCCTGCCCAGCTTAAATACATGAATTTTTAAGTGATCACCTTTGTGTTTTCGAGTAGTAAAAGATTGTACTAGTAGTGCAACTTCTCATCAAAATAAAGTTTACCACAGATGCAAGTGAATTTGCGCACTTGGACATGGCCCTTCAGCTGCCATGAAATCCAAGTGCGCAGCCTAACTCAGCTGAGCGGGCTGCGCTGGCCGTGGTAAGCAGAGGACAGTGCCCTTTGAGCCTCACCTACACTGCTGCTCCAACACAGGCAGTAGGCACACAGCTCCAGAGGGATGAGTACGTGAAGCAGCCTTCCTCTTGGCACTCAGGTACTTGGGGAGACCGAAGAAAGAGAAGACGGTTGTCATCAGACCCCCTTTCCTTCGGCCGGAAGTGTCGGACGGGCAGATAACTGTGAAGGTCATGGACAACGGCATCCAGGGCGAGCTGAGGAGGACCAAGGTGGGCGCGGGGAGGCGAGGCAGCCTGATGTGGGGTCTCCCTCGTGGTAGGGCATGCAGACTTGCTTTCAGTTTTCCTTGTTGTTTGCCGGCCGGGTACCGAGCCCAGGGCCTCGTGTGCTCTGCTTCAGAGCTACACCTCCTGCCCAGAAGCCCCCTTTGCATCTGCAGCTTCCTTATAGGGTCACGATTTGTGTTTCAAATCACATAAGTCCAGATCATCTTTTCTTCGTTAGATTTTGAGTTCAGACAGTAGACGTTGTGTCGTTCATTTTGATGTTTCGTAAGAAGACTTAACAGCTGGCAGGTGACGGGAGCCTGACGCCTGCTTGTTGCTCGGTTGCTCAAAGTGAACAGACGGGCGATGGAGTGGCGGCCTGTTGGAAGCTGCCTTGGTCCAGCGCCATGTCTGAGCCGGGCTGCGCGCCTGTCCTCAGCCTCTTGTGCGGGTTCTGCAGCCCTCGCCCTCCCTCCCTCCTTCCACAGTCCAAGGGCAGCCTGGAGATCACCGAGAGCCAGTCAGCAGACGCAGAGCCGCCGCCGCCGCCCAAGCCAGACCTGAGCCGCTACACTGGGCTGCGGACCCACCTCAGCCTGGCTCCCAATGAGGGTGAGGCCCACGGGCTTGAGGGGCGGCCGGCTCGGCGGGGGATGCCTGGTGGCATCACTGGAGCAGGCTGTTTGGGGTCTGGATGAGGACAGGTGAGGGGAGAAACTGGGCGTCTAGACTGACCGGAGGATTTCCCAGGGCCCGCCAGTGCGCACCACCTGATCGCGGTAGATCCTGTTCCCTACACATTCCTTTTCTTTTTCCCTTTTTTTTTTTTTTCCCGTACCGGGGATCGAACTTGGGTCCTTGCACTTGTGAGGCAGGCGGCAGAACCACTGAGGCTAAATCCCTGGACCTCTTTTTCCTTTTTTGAGGCACTGGGGATTGGTGCTAGGGCCTTCACACTGAGCTACATCCCCAGCCTTTTTTAAATTTTTATTTTGAGACAGGCTGTCATTAAATCAGTGAGTTTTAACTCAGACTGGGCTTGAACACAGGCTCCTGCCTCAGCCTCCCAGAGTGCTGGGATTTCAGGTGCGCCCCACCACACCTGGCTCCTGGGCCTTCCTCTGCCAGGTGAACCTGTTGCTGTGGTGCCCCTGCCCTGTGCCTTAGGGCCCGAGGTCACAGGAGCAGCTTGTGAAGCTGCGTCCGCTGGCTTCTTTCCTGTAGACAGCAGCCTGCTGGGCAGGGACAGCCCGCCGACGCCCACCATGTACAAGTACCGGCCCGGCTACAGCAGCAGCAGCGCGTCGGCCGCCATGCCGCACTCCTCCAGCGCCAAGGTAGGGGACAGGTGGGTGTGCGGCGGAGAGGCCCCCAGCACTGCCCTGCTCTGCACTGGGGCCTGGTTGCCCTGCTGGCATGCAGGTCGCAGCGCTGATTCCAGACCCAGGTCCGTGCGCGCCCTGCAGGCCTCAGCCTTGCTGCACCTGGAGCTGCCCACCGCGAGTGCGTGCTCAGGGTGCTGTCCTTCCTCCGCAGCTGAGCCGCGGGGACAGCCTGAAGGAGGCGACCTCGGTTGCAGAGAGCAGCCGCCAGCCCAGCTGCCGCTCAGAGCCCAGCCTGGAGCCAGAGAGCTTCCGCTCGCCCACCTTCGGCAGGAGCTTCCACTTTGAGCCCCTGTCGAGCGGCTCGCGCTCGTCCAGCCTCAAGTCGGCCCAGGGCGTGGGCTTTGAGCTGGGCCAGCTGCAGTCCATCCGCTCGGAGGGCACCACCTCCACGTCCTACAAGAGCCTGGCCAACCAGACGCGCAATGGCAGCCTTTCCTACGACAGCCTGCTCACGCCATCGGACAGCCCCGACTTCGAGTCCCTGCAGGCCGTGCCCGCGCCTGAGCCGCTGGGCTACACCTCACCCTTCCTGTCCGCGCGGCTGGCCCCGCAGCGCGAGCCATCCCCGGTGCGCTACGACAATCTGTCGCGCCACATCGTGGCGTCGCTGCAGGAGCGGGAGAAGCTGCTGCGCCAGTCGCCCCCGCTCCTGGGCCGCGAGGAGGAGGCCGTGGGGGACTCGGGCGCCCCGTCCATGCCGGCCTCCGCCCACACCCCCGAGGACTGCAAGCGCTCGCCGCTGGCCAAGACTGCGCCGGGCCGCCCAGCCGGGCCCCGCTTCGGCAAGCCCGAGGGGCTCAGGGCCCGGGGCCTCGGGTCCCCCGAGCCGGGCGCGGCCGCCCCCTTCCTGGGCAGAGCCGTGTCCTACAGCAGCCAAAAAGCCCCGGCCAGTGTCTCCGAGGCAGAGGAGGTAGCCCTGCAGCCCCTGCTGACCCCCAAGTAAGTACCTGCCCGCCCTCGGGGCTGTGCGGGAGGCGGGGGGGGGGGCGAGGGGAGGGAGAGGAGAGGCCAGGCTGGCACCCTGCTGACCCGCCCGCTGCCCTCTGCCCACTGCCTCTGCAGAGACGAGGTGCAGCCCAAGGGCACCTACAGCAGATCCAACGGGCAGCCCAAGGGCCTGGGCCCGCCCTCCCCCGGCCAGCCACCACTCAGCAGTCCCACGCGCGGAGGCGTGAAGAAGGTGTCAGGGGTGGGTGGCACCACCTACGAGATCTCCGTGTGAGCTGAGCGCCGCCTCTGCCTCCTGACCACAGGGCCCGGGGCGCAGCCTGGCCCCGTCTTCGAGCCCTCCCGCCGCCTCCTGGCCCGGACTCAGTGGACATTGTGCAATGCTTGCTCTGGAGGGAACCAGATCATTTTTAAACCAGAAATAATTTTTTTTATTATTGTTACGGATTCTATTTTTTCCTCTTCTGCGTTACCAGGTGTGTGTGTACATATATATATATTATATATATTATAAATATCAAAGATTATATATCTATCCCAGGATGGGAAGATGAGGGAGGGAGGTACACAGGAGGGAGATTAGCCTCTCCTCAGACCAGCAGAAGACTCGGGGTCTGCCTTTCCCCAGGCTCCCCCATCCCAGCCTCTGACCTGGGGTCCGGCGCTGCTGATGCCCTGATGAGGGGCAGAGCCGGGGAGCCAAGTCTGGGGCCCTGGCTGGGAGAGGGCCGAGGGCCTTTGGCCGGGTGGCGGTGGGGTGGAGGACCTGGCCTCTCTGTTCGCTTTCGGGAGCCGCAGTTCTGGGGCTTTCGCAAGGCCTACATGGTTAATGTAATCTTAAAATCAAAGGACAGGAGAAAAGAATCCAAAAAGCAATATTTTTAATCACATGCCAAAAACGGGATAGAGAGGAGGAGTGGCAGGCCTGGGCCCCTCCCGCTGTCCCTGGGGGTCCCCCCGGCCCACTCGGAATGGTGCTGGGTAGAGGCACACTGGGCTCCGACCCCCACACAGGGCAGGCCCCAGCCTCTATGCACAGGCCCGTTTATTTTTTATTCTGATTAGCCATTTTAAACCAACGAGGAATAAAAAGAAACCCTGCTCTGACCAGCTGCCCGGCTCGCGTCATTTTGTCCTCTAAAGGCAGGTAGAGTGCTCTGTGGAAGCCATCCCAGGGGACCCAGTCAGCCCCTCTTCAGGCAGGACGGGGTGAAATTACTTGTAACAGCAGCTCCTGGTTTTGTTTGGGTAAAAGGATTTTTTTTTCGAGACAGGGTCTCGCTGTACATAGTGCAGGCTGGCCTTGCACTCACTGGCCCAGGATGGCCAGAAACAGCAATCTTCCTGCCTCTGCCTCCTGAGTGTATTACAGGGGTGTGCCACCACACACGGTTTAGAATAATTCCAGGACTTGTGAGAACAGCCAGGGCCAGCGGTGCATGCCTGTAATGCCAGCTGCGCAGGAGGCCGACTCCAAGGGCAATTCAGTGAGGCCCTGTCTCAAAAAAGCTCAATGGTAGGGTACTTGCCTGGTGTGTGCAAGGCCTGGGTTTAATCCCCATTTGGAAAAACCCCTACAAAAGTCCAGCAACCAGCACTCACCATTGCTAAGCTTAGAGACCTCTTGGTTGTGTCCTGCTGTCCCCTTTTGTCCCGGGGAAGAGGCTCCTCTCCCCAGGCGGCCCGTGTGGAGGCCTGGAGAGCAGCCAGGGGTGGGGTGGCAGTCGTTAGAGAAGATGCCCCTGATTTGGGAAGGGCGCCGCCACACCATGCCACGCCAGACTCCGGAGTGCCTGTTTCCGCCTCTCCGCAAGTGGAGCACAGCAGTGAGGGCGCCAGGCTGCCAGTGCACACACAGCCCAAGCAGTGTTCACAAACCCCTGCTCGCGGCCCCTGAAGGCGAGCTGAGCTGGAGGAGTCAGTCTGTTCTGCTGCTGGATTTGTCTTAACCAAGGAACGAGGCAGGTTCAGCTCCTCAGGGAAGGCGCAGGTGCCTCTGGCTGCCAGGAGCTCACTGCCAAGGTCACACCCTTCAGGCCTGGCTTGCTGCTGCTCACATGCCCAGGGACTGCCTGCCTTCCTGCGGGCGGCCGGCCGTTCCTGGACAGAAATGGCCTGGAATGTGCAGCAGGGGTCTAAGGGGCAGCTTTTCAGGTGACGCCTGCAGGTTCCCCCACGGGCAGGGTGTGGGATGTCTGCCGGGAGGTGCAAGCGCAGCTTGCTCTGCCCAGGACAGATGCACTGAGACGGAGACCCAGCCCCCAGCGCCACTTAGCGGTGCTGCCTTCAACCCTGACCCAAGAAAGGCACTTAGCTCTTCTCTCTGCAGCACTGGGGATTGAAGCCAGGGCCCCGAGTTACATCCGCGGCCCTTTCTAAACGCTTCATATCTGGAGAGGGGGCTTTGCTGTCCACCTTGCCTGGGCTGGCCTAGGTCTCCCAGTGCTGGGACCCGAGGCCTGTGCCCCCAGCCCTGCGCGCTTACCTCTGGACAGGCAGCCACATTTGAGCCAGTTTGGAAACTCAGTTTTTTAAAAGTGAGAAACCCTAACAAATCAAGTCCTGAAATCAGACAAATTGCACAAAGGAAAGAGCGAGCCACAGAACACTTCCTGGGAGAGGAGGAGAGGTCTAAGGGAGCCGCTCCTCCTCCCTCCAGGTGGGCGCCATGCCTGGCCTGGCCTGGCCCGGCCCAGCCCGGTCTGTCCTGTCCTGTCCACAGCAGGTCCGCGCGGCAGGAAGAGCTGTCCTGGCGGAGGCTGGTGGTCCCCTTAGCGCAGGCTGCTGCTGCTGCTGGCCTGGGAGCTGCCCATGCCAGGGTGGTCGGGACTGTGGCGGCTCTGGGGAGTCAAGGGTGGGGTCAGGACACGGAGCACAGCCTGGGCCTGCAGCAGGGTGGCTGGGACACTGTGGTTCCCCTGGGCCAGTGCCTCAGGCCGCCACTCAGGGCACGCATGCACGCGCTGGGCAAGCTCCTGCCACCCTACCTTCTTCTTCTTCTTCTCTTTCTTCTTCCTCTTCCGCTCAGGGTCCTCTTCCTTCTTCTTCTTCTTCTTCTTGTGGTCCGAGTCGGAAGGTGTTTCTGTGGGGACATGAGAGGCTGTCGCTGCAGAGCTGGCCACCTCCTGCTCTCCCTCCAGACGGCTGTGGCCGTGCCAGGTCCCAGGTCCCAGGTCCCGCGCACTCCCGGCCCCGCACCCTTCCCTCACCTGGGGGCACTGGGTCCTGGGTGCGGCTCTGCTTGTGCTTGTGCTTACTCTTCCTGGGGGGCTGGATGTGCATGAGGCGGCACTGCTCCGGCAGCTGCGGGGACAGGCACGCGGCTCAGGGCGGCTCAGGGTGCTCTGGGCCTGGTTCCCAGCTTGCCCTCCCCCACAGCGGACTCACCGGGCCCGTGTGCAGCCGGAAGCCGGACAGCATGGTCCCTGTGATGGGATTGAAGGAGCCGCCCAGGATCGGGGGCTTCTCGATGAGGGAGCGGAGGCTGCTGTTGTCATGGGACCCGGGCAGGTCAATCATGCCAGGCAGGTCGGGCAGGAAGTTGCTCAGCTTCTCCTTGACCTTCTTCCCGCAGAACTTGTTGTAGGCCTGCTCCAGGTTGTAGTGTGTGATCAGATTGGTGCTGCCCGTGAGCTCCGTGCTGCCTGCGGGCCGGTGGGGGGGGTGGTTCAGTGCCCATAGAGAGTGCTCTCCGTGCTCCACCAGAGGGTTGATGGCTGCACTGCCACCCAGGTGTGGGCATGGTGGAGCTTCTGAAGTAAGCAGCACACGTAAACACAAGTCCGAAACTCTGAAAACCTGAAATCTGAGATGCCATGAAACACTGAATTCCACCGTTTCAGATTTCAGCTGGGTGCAGTGCACATGCTGATAATCCCAGCTATTCAGGAGGCTGAGACAGGAAGATAGCATGTTTGAGGCCAGCCCGTGCAGCTTAGTGAAAGCCTATCTCAAAAAGTAGAAAAGGTTGGATGTATCCCTGTGTTACCTGGATTTGATCCCAAGTACAACCAAGAAAACAAAACAAGAACAAACAAACCAAAATAAATAAATTCCGATAGTAAGCGTTTCAGATTCTTGGATTAGGGTAAAGTATGCAAACAACCTGAAATCCGAAGCCTTTCTGGTCCAAGCCTTTTGGATAAGGACACTGTGCCTGTGATAACATGTAACGAACAAGACCAGACCGGCTGGAGTAACAGCTGCTCTGTGCTAAACAATGCTGGGCGCGCTTTTCAGAAGACGCAGAGTGAGGAGTTCTTTTCTCTGACCTGACAGGGATAACAGCAGCTCGCGGCTCAGCTACAATGATCAAGGACTTGAGGGTCCTGGGGAGTTGGGAAGACTTTCTTTCTGGAGGTTTGTGCCTTTTGGGGGTGGGATGGGCAGGGCCTCTGCACCGACCTCCGTTGTCCTCAGCCCTTGGTAATTTACCTTGAGTCAGGGTCTTCTCGCCAAGTTGCCCAGGCTGGGCTCGAACTTTTGATCCTTCTGCCTCAGCCCTGCCGAGGTTCTATACTTAGGATGGACACAAAGGGCACAGAAGGCAAGAGTGGCCCGGGAGCCTCTGCAGGGCACACACAAGCTGCCGTCTCCTGCCACACAGTGCCAGCAGGGCAGCTGCCCCTCGCATCTCCCCGCCTCCCGGCCCAGGGTGATGCTTCCTCACCCAGGAAGGCACTGGGCTGCTCCTAAACCCTAAAAGCCTTTAACTTCCTGTTCTCTCAGCCCAGTGAAGGTGATTTCCAAACCTTGCTCTGCACCGCTGACTCCTCTCCTGAAAAAGAATCTTGGATTCCCAACTTCATCAACTTTACACAGATTCCATTTTTCCCTTGAAATTCCAAAGGATGCCCACATTCCCTGCGGCTGTTTTAATCTCTGGCACTCACATTCTCCAGATATTTTCACAAAGCAGTGCTCCTCAGTTCAAAAATCTCAAAGGCTTCCTTCCTATCACCCTCAGGAAAAAGCTCAAAATCCCTATCTGGCACCGAAGCTCTTCAATCCCACTCTTCTGTGGGAAATTTCAGGTCCATCCAAATGGGTTTCCATGTCTCCTGGGGGTGTGTAGTGGGGTGACCTTATATTTTCTCATTTTAGGAAAATTCTTCCTAGTTTTCTTCACCTGTATAAATTCTTCAAGGTAAAGTTCAAATGACATCTTATTCTTGCTGTCATTTTGTTTGTTTTTTTGGTACCAGAGATGAACTCAGGACCTTGCACTTTTGAGGCAGGCGCAGTGCCACTGAGCTAAATCCCTGGCCCACTGTCGTTATGTTTTGTTTTGTTTTGGTACCGGGTAACAAACTTAGGACCTTTCACTTTCGAGGCAGGCAGCAGAACCACTGAGCTAAATCCCCAGCCCCCACTGTCATTTTGGATAACACATTTTGAAAACTATTGGATAGTTTTTAATATTGTTTGCTAAGATATTGTTAAGTGCTATATACAAAACATGACCACAAACTAATGAGACTGGCACTGACAAGAAATATAATTGTTATTCATATGCCATGTTTTTATATTCTTTACTTTTTTTTTTTCTTTGGTACCGGGGATCGAACTCGGGTCCTTGCGCTTGCGCAGCAGGCGGCGAACCCACTGAGCCAAATCCGCGGCCCATGTTTTATATTCTTAAATAGGATCCTTTAAAAAGCAAGGAGGCAGCTTGGAACAGTGGTGCATGCCCATAATCCCATCATGAGGTAGGCTAAGGAAGGGGGACTGCAAATTTGAGTCCTGCTGGGTCAATTTAGAGGATGTTTTTTCTAAATAAATTTAAAGGGGGACTAAGAATTTAGCTTAATGTAAAAGCCCTGGGTTCACACATGCGCAACCATGTTTATTAATTCCCCCCTCCCCAAGCTGAAGTCTCCCACATTTGCTCAGAATACCTATTCTGTATCTGTCAACTGGTTGATAGAAACAGGTACGATCTGAATAAGCAAGGCACAAGAAAGGCTCAGGAAACTGCTAGAGGACACCAATTTGGTCAAAGGACATTTGATTCTTCATTCCTGTCCACGCACCTGTTCCCTGCATCCATTCACTTCACAGCCAAGCCCTGTTACAAACCATCATCTCTCCTTGGATTTCTCACACATGTCCCCATTTTGTGCTCCTGTAGCTGCTGGAATAATTAAAAATGAATAAATCTGATCATTTCCCTCCCACGTTAAAACCGTTTGCCTTTGGCGGATGGAAGCTAAATCCTTATGTTGCCTGGTAAAGGCCTCTGCTTCCACCTCTCTCGCTCTCATCGCTGGAGTCCCACAGGACTTCCGTCCCGCAGTCTTCAGGCTTTTTCTCACACCCAGACTCCTGATACCGAAAAGCATCTCTCCCTCCCGTCCGAGTCCCCGGCCATCTGTCCACACACAACTGTGGCTCGAATGTCCATTCACTTTTTCTCCTGGTGGTATTGACCACTCTCTGATGTTCTTGTTTACACTTCACCTCCTCTGCTGACAGGTAAGCTTCAAAAGGTAAGGCTCTTATCAGTCCTGTTCACATAAACCTCCAGCACTTCTTTCTCTTTTGCTGTATCGAGGATGGAACTCACACCCTTTGCCGAGATACATCTCCAGCCCTTTTTGGATTTTCTATTTAAGACAGGGTCTCACTAAATCTCTAACTTGCCCAGGGTGGGCTCGAACTTGCGAACCTCCTTCCTCAGCCTCCCAGGTGTTGGAATTGGAATTACTGGTGTGCTCCACCAGGCCTTTCTCCAAATCCTTTCCTTTTTTTTTTTTTTTTGGTACCGGGGATCAAACTCAGGACCTTCCGCTCGCGAGACAGGCGCCGGAACCACTGGGCCAAATTCCCGGCCCGAAATATATATTTTTAAATACTTTTATTTTAATAAAAAGATTTGGCTTAATTTTTAACCCCATCTTTGAACAGATGAATCGTCTATTCCCCGAAAAGGCAATTTGCCCCAAGCCAACAAGTTTGTGGCAGACTGGAAACTAAAACCTTAGGTTCAAACTCGACCATTTTTTCCTAAAGGAGGCACACACGTCAGTGACAGGACCCGAATTTAAAGCGAAAGGCTGTCCCAGAGATGCACACTGACCCACTCCAAGCCCTCCTATGTTCAAGCCAACTCTGATCCTCAAAGCCCTCTGATTTGGGCTGCACTTTCTGGCCACGCGTCGCCTAGGTTACCGCCCAGCTTGGCAGCAGGCTGGCGGCCACGCCCACCACTATCTCTGATCTGATTGGCTGGCTTCGGCCAGTCCTAGTACTCACCTGGTAGTTCCCTCATTAGGTAGAAGGGGCCGCAGCCGGCTGTTGACTTGTCCGCACCCGGAGGAGCCGTGGCCGCGGTAGGGGGCGCGGCCGTGCCGGGTCCCCCGCCCGGAGGAGGCGGAGGTGGGGGTGGAGGTTTTCCTGGCCCGAAGCTGAGTGCGGTTGGGGGCGGTGGTGGGTCAGCTTGAGCTCCGAACAGCGCCGTGAAATTCTCCATCGTCCACTTGGCTCCGGCGCTGCTCGTGTGTCTGGCGTTAGTGATTTTCATTGGGCAAGCCTTTGAGTGGGAAACGCCCTCTTCCTGTAAAGACCTCCAGTCACTGGATACTCCAGGCCACGCCCACCTCCTTCCGGCGACCACTTCCGTCGCTCTGTGAGAACGTTCAGGAAGTGCTAACTAACCTTATTAGCTCGTCTCAGAGCTGGTTCGTCAAAGTTACATATCCAATTAAATGACTTAGGTTGGAAAAGTGACAGCTAGATTGACCAATAAAATGCTGGATCCCTCTTTGGGGGTGTCTGACCTCATGTAATGCCCAATCAGAAATCTACATCCGGGTCCAAGGGCGGAGTCCCCCAGATTTGTCCCAATAAAGTCTCGAGACTGGGGAGGCGGGGCCAGCCCTACTGAGGGGGCGGGGCTCGGGGGGGGGCGCGGGGACCGGAAAGATGGCGGTCCTCGCACCTCTGATTGCCCTGGTGTACTCGGTGCCGCGGCTTTCGCGATGGCTGGCCCGGCCTTACTGCCTGCTGTCGGCCCTGCTGTCTGCTGCCTTCCTACTCGTGAGGAAACTGCCGCCGCTCTGCAACGGCCTCCCCACCCAGCGCGAAGATGGCAACCCGTGCGACTTCGACTGGGTGAGCGCCCCCTGGCTCCCCGTCCGCGACCTTGACGGCCCCTGCCCGCAGCTGCGGCCGGCGGGGCTCCGGGCGACTCGGAGGGCGGGGGCTTGGGTGTTCGGGGGACCCCGAGCCGCGGCCGCAGCTCCCGGCCACCACCTGAGGTCGTTTCATCTTGGGCCCATCCCCGCGCTCCTGAGACCAGAATCAGCGCCCTGGCACCGAGCCGCATCCCCATCCTTTTATAAAAATTTGAGGCACAGTTTCGCCACGTTGTCCAGTTTGGGATGGAACTTGAGGCCCTCCCGCCTCAGCCTCCCAGAGGCCTGGGATGACAGGCGTGCCCTACCACGCCCCGCGCAGTTCATGCTTTTTTCCATCACACCATTCGTGCTAATCCACAGCCCCACCAAACCGCAGCACAGCAGTGTGCGGGGCTGCTCCTTACGTAAGGTAAGGCGGGCAGGAGAGCGCACGGCCGCACACCCTCTCGGGCGTGTCTTCATTCCTTAAAGTTCCCAGAATGCACATTCTTTCCTAAGGGCAGTGCAGGACCCCGAGGATGCGAAACTGAATCACAGTTGAGACACGGAAAAAAAAGAAGCAAAACAAAAACCTAAAAATAAATTGTAAACAAATCCACCCTGCACAGCTCAGGGGTCCAGGCCTGAAATCCCGGCTACTGCAGAGGCTGAGGCAGGAAGCTCCCAAGTTCAAGGGCAGCCTAGGCAATTTAGTGCGACTCTGCCCAAAATAAAAAATAAAAAGGGCTGGGACCCCTGGTTCAGTCCCCAGTACTGGAAAGAAAGAAATCAGTCCCAAGCTGCTTCCTTGCCAGGAGTGCCAAGAGGAGCCGAAATGAAAGCAGCCCCTAGGATTGTCCTTTTCCAGGGCCCAAGGTGAGCCCGACTTTTACCAGAACCCATCCCCTAACCTTTTCCTGCTTCCTCCCCCTTCTCTCTTGCTGTCTGCCCTTTCCCAGGCAGTATTATTTGTTAGCTCAAATGTAGCCACGCTATTTCAAAACATGCTGTATCACTGTAAGGAGACGGGGCTCAAAAGTATACGTGTATAGTAATAAGAATTTTAATGAATGTAGGAGTCCTTTTTAGAATTAATTTCTCCATAAACCCCTCCCCCCAGCACTGAGGATAGAACCCACGGCCTTGTGCCCACCAGGCAGGTGCTTTAGACATGCGATCCTCCTGTCTCAGCCTCCTATCTCAGCCTCGAGTGCAAGTTGTTTCTTTTGTCTCAGTGTGGAAGGTTTCAGGCCATGACTGGCTGGGCCCAGAGCCTCAGGCCTGTGGCCAGGCAGTCCCTCAGGGAGGACCACAGGGGCAGAATCACCTGCCCCGTGCAACGAAGAAAGAGCAAGGAGGGGTCAGAGTCCCTCCATGCCCCACAAGGGCACGTCAAGGGCCTGCTGTCCGCACCTCCTAGCACCACCTTGGAAAACAAGCCATGAAGGACATTCAGGACCCAAGTTCTGTACCCAGCACAGTGGTGTGTGCCTGTCGTTCCAGCTACTGGGGAGGCCAAAGCAGGCAGAGCACTTGGGCCCAACAGTTTAAGATCAGCTGGGCAACACAGTGAGAGGCCGTCTCGGAAGTGAACAGCACTTGGGAGGCTGAGGCGAGGTTCCATGGCTTCGGCCTCCAGCTGCCCAGGTGTTCTCAGCCTCCTGCCCTGTGCTCTTGCAGAGGGAAGTGGAGATCCTGATGTTTCTCAGTGCCATCGTGATGATGAAGAACCGCAGGTCCAGTGAGTGCAGCCTGGGCTCGGGCTTCCTGGCGAGGAGGGTCCTGAGCCTGCCTCAGGCCAAGGCTGAGCCTGGCCGGGCACTTGTGCCCTCCCCTGCCCCTTCCTTCTCCCCTTGGGCTCAGGAGCTGCCGCCAGGCTGACCTGCTGCCCTGCGTTTCAGTCACCGTGGAGCAGCATGTGGGCAACATCTTCATGTTCAGCAAGGTGGCCAACGCCATCCTGTTCTTCCGCCTGGACCTGCGCATGGGGCTGGTGTACCTCACGCTGTGCATAGGTGAGGGCCTCCGTCCTCCCTTGGCCTGTGAGATGAGTGTAGCTCAGGTGATCAGAACCTACCTGAGCTGTGTTTTAAGAGGAAGGGAAGAGCCAGGTGGGGCGGTGCACATCTGCAAGCCGGCACGCAGGGAGGCCGAGGCAGGAGGGGATCTCAAGTTCAGGCCTGGCCTGGGTGACTTAGTGAGACCCTGTCTCCAAGTAAACAAAATGGGGCTGGGGATGTAGCTCAGCATGAAGGCCCGGGTTTGCTCCCTAGTATGGCAGGGGAAAGAGGAAACCCAAGAGGAGGGCACTGCTGTGTGCCCCCACCCACAAGTCTGTTCTTGGAGGCTGGTGGCCGCAGTGGCTGTGAAATGAGGGCAGCTCTGTCTCCCGTCCCCATGCAGTGTTCCTGATGACCTGTAAGCCCCCGCTCTACATGGGCCCCGAGTACATCAAGTACTTCAACGACAAGACCATCGATGTGAGTGCTCCTCCTGCGTCCGGGGCAGGGGTGAGGAGCTGGGCGGGGCCGTGGAACCCAGCTCACCGCACCCCTCCTGTGGCAGGAGGAGCTGGAGCAGGACAGGAGGGCCACGTGGCTCGTGGAGTTCTTCGCCAACTGGTCCAGCGACTGCCAGTCGTTCGCGCCCATCTACGCCGACCTGTCCCTCAAGTGAGCAGCGGAGAGCAGAACGGAGCGGAGGGGCAGCCGCGGCCTCGGTCGCTGTTCCCCCATCCCTCTCTGTGCTCAGTGTTCAAGGTTCCATTCTTCCAGGTACAACTGCGCGGGGCTGAGCTTCGGGAAGGTGGACGTGGGGCGCTACACGGACGTCAGCACGCGGTATGCAGCGGGGGTGGGTGGGGGGTGAGTGCTCTGCGCGTATGCACGGCACACTGAGGCCTTTCCCGCCTGCCCGCAGGTACAAAGTGAGCACGTCGCCCCTCACCAAGCAGCTCCCGACGCTCATCCTGTTCCAGGGCGGCAGGGAGGTCATGCGGCGGCCTCAGATCGACCGGAAAGGGCGCGCCGTGTCCTGGACCTTCTCCGAGGTGCCGAGGCGGGGCCGGGCCGCTCCGAGCTGTGGGAGTGTGGGCCAGTGTGGGCCGGGCAGTGCTGGGGCAGCCTGTTGGCCCCCCGGGGGGTCGGCGCGCAGGCCTGGGGCGGCCGGCGCCCAGGTTTGTCCCGCGAGACTGCACAGAGTGTAAATGTTGGCAGGCACCGCCCGGACACTTAGGTCTGACTGCTTTGCTGGGCACCTGAAAGCGAGCACAGTTACAATGGGGCCGATTGCTGGCCTTGCTTCCTCCCTCCTTTCCTTAGACTGTGTCTGGATACTTATTTCAGCTGGGTATGGGCCGCACGCCTGCAACCCCAGCGCTCTGGGAGGCTGTGGCAGGAGGATCGCTAGTTTGAAGTCCAGCCTGGGGAGCTATGCGACTTAGTAAGACGCTGTCCCAGAATCAAAGCCTGAAGAGGCCTGGGGATGTAGGTCAGCGCGGAGGCACTGGGTTCAATGCCAGGACTGCAAAAACAACTTCTCCCGGGCCCTGAACTTGGCCTTCTGGCTGCCTCACACGTCCATCCGTTTCCTGCAGGAGAATGTGATCCGAGAATTCAACCTGAATGAGCTGCACCAGCGGGCCAAGGGGGCGACCCAGGCGGGCGACAGCATTCCGGAGGGCAAGAAAGTCAAATAGGGCCTGCTCTCCAGTAACCCTGTTTGCCCTGTCGCTGCGCACATGCGACCCTGCTGGACGGTGGCCAGCCGGGACCGGGGGCGAGGTCCCTCCGGGCTCGGCTGGTGCCAGCCGGTGCCCCCTCAGCGGCCAGCCAGGGTCTCCTCGTCCCTGCCGCCCGGGCTGCTCCAGGGAAAGCAGGCTAACAAAAAGACTAGAGGCGCAGGGAGAAACCTGTCGCCACAGCGGACGACGCCCTCCCCGGATGGGGAGCAGAAGGGTGGCGGCGCCACAAGGCGGCCGCGCGCCTCCCGGCACTCGGAGGCCCCCGCAATAAAGAGCCCGGTTCCCTCTGGAGCGTGGTTTTCTGTCTGTGGCCTCGGCCGGGCACCTGCAGCGCTAACGCCGTGCCGTCTCCGCGTCCTCACCGGGTGAAGCGTGCGCCAGTTCCGGGGCTGCGGCTGCAGCACGGCGGGTGGGCGGGCTTTGGGGCGCGCGCTCCCGGACTGGGCGCCCAAGGGCCCCGCCCCGCTGAGGCCCCGCCCCGCCTGTAGCCCGCCGGCCCGCGCAGCACGTGGTGCCCTCCGCCCGCCCGGCCTACACTACTGTGGCGCCATGGCTCCTCGCGGGAGGAAGCGCAAAGCGGAGGCCTCGGAGGTCGGCTCCGCGGGGAAGCGGGAGGAGCTGGCTGACAGTGGGGCGGGCGCGGCGGAGGTCCAAGTGGTCATCGAGCACTGGTGAGGGTCGCGTCCCCGAGCCCCGTCCCTGGACCCCGGTGCCCGCGTCCCGCCCTGAGCCCTTCACTGTGCCCTGTCCGCAGCACCAGCTGACGCGTGTACGCGCGCCAGGCCGCGGCGCTGAGCCAGGCGCTGCGCGAGGCGGCCCCGCAGCTGGCGGTGGCGCTGAACCCGGCGCGGCCGCGGAGAGGCAGCTTCGAGGTGACGCTGCGGCGCGCGGACGGCAGCAGTGAGTGGGCCGGGGCAGCGGGCGGCGGGTGGGGCGCGCGGCCCCGCACCGCCTCACTCGGGCCTTCGCAGGTGCCCCGCTCTGGACCGGAATTAAGAAGGGACCACCGCGCAAACTCAAGTTCCCGGAGCCGCAGGCGGTGGTGGAGGAGCTGAGCAAGCACCTTCCGTAAGGCGCGGCCGGAGACCCACGCTGAGGTTCGTGGCCAGGGCGGGGTGGGGGCGGGCTGCCTTCGTCCAGTTTCTCTCCTGGCCTCCCCGCCCGGTCCTGGAGTACTGGGACTGCGCTCCACACCCTGCCTTTTATTTAGGGTTCAGGGATCGAATTCAGGTCCTTGCGCTTGCCAGGCAGGCGCGGCGCCACTGAGCTACAGGCCCGGCCCTTCTAGTTTTCAGTTTGAGGCCGAATCTCGGCCCCACGACCTCCGGCGGGAGCGGCTCGAGGCTCTTGTGGGTGGGCTGTTCGGTCCTTTGCAGTTGGTTGGTGTTCATTGTTGCCCTGGGGTGTGGACCAGTTTTGCATTTATTTGCAAATTCACTTTGCATTCCTGGTGGTTATTTTAATTACTTGATTCACTTGTAAATCTTACCAATTCTCTTACTGAGATAGCAAATACGAAACTGATATTTGCTGCTTTGCTATGAGTTAGGGATTTTTTCAATTTACTGGCAGCAGCTTTCCCTACACCCTTCTGGGTTTTATTCTTGAGGTTCTTCAGTTTTTGGAGACGCAGTTCAAGCTAGCCCTAGCCTTGAATTATTTAGGCAGCCACCCTCCCGCCTCAGCCTCCTGAGTGATGGGATTACTGGCATCTGCCACCATGCCAGGCTGCCCTTAGTTAAGAGGCGCCTGTGCTGAGATCGTCACTCCTGGCTACCAGAATTCTTTGTCCCTGGTGCTTTCTACAGCCCTGTTCCGGGCATTTAGTTGGGGGGCTCTGGAGAAGGGTGGTCCTCCAGCTCGGGGTGTGGGCGTAGGTCTGACCGCCTGCCCCTCCCTCTGCAGCGTTTCTGTCCCTGGTGCTGTTGGAGCGTCTGTGACGGGACATGGCCAAACTTCAGTCATGGACCTGAAACCACGGTCTCTTTCACTCCAGAAGCGAGCGTTCTTGTGCGGCGGCCCCGAGCGGTACGGGTCGGGGACTGGCTTAATAAAAGGTGAAATAAAGTGTCCGAGTAAGCGGAAGCTCGCGCTGAGGGAGGGACGAGCGGCCTTTTGGGGTTGCTGAGCCTTTTATTTTCCATAGCCACAGGTCACCTGGCCTCTGGTAAAGCATGTGAAATACTTGTCAAAACTAAGGGAGCAAAGGAAATTATTTTTTTAAAAAGCAACTGTACCTTTTTGGACTCACTTCTTGGAAGTGATGACAGAAGTGCATCTCCCTGGCCCGGTGGAGCTGTCAGCTGGGCTTCCCGAGTGGCGCTGGCGCTGGCCGAGTCTCAGACGCAGGTGCTGCTCTTCCAGGACGCCCTGAACGCACGCAGTGTTGGCTGAGGCAGGAGCCTCCCTTCCGAGGGGGCCTGCCTCACAGGGCGGGGCTCCACCTAGGGCCCGCTAGCTGGGTACAGTTTACCGACCTCCCACTAACGGGAAAACATTACAAAGAAAAAGGATGCTAAGAGTTTGATTTCAACCCCTGGTATCCCCTTGACTTCCGCCTGGCGCCCAAGCCAGGGGCCGAGCTGCGGGGGCAGCCGGTTGTGCGGAAGGGGCCTAGCAGTCCAGACTCCTCCTCATTACGTCAGGACGTCCAGCTCTGTGTCTGACTCCGAGGAAGGGTCGGGCCACACGGAGGGGACGCCGGCGGGCACCAGCGCGGCCTCCGCCGTCCAGTCCACGTCGATCTCCTCGTCTTCGGAGCTGGCAGTGGGCGGGCCGGGCCCCGTCCCGGGGGCGGGGCACAGCTCCTCGAGCGCTGCTGGGTGCTCGTCCAGCCCGCGCTCTGTCCAGCCGGAGCCCGGCGTCGAGGGCTTTTCCCCCAGCTCCGGTGACCGGGAGGCCGGGGCTTCAAGATCCGGAGTCCAAGCGCCGCCCACCGGAAGCGCGTCTCCGTCCCCCGGGGGCGCCTGGCTCTGGCCCGCAGGCTCCTCGTCCAGGCCCGAGAGCTCTCTGGACCAGAGTTCCAGGTCTGGCAGGCACCATGCTCCCTCTTCCATCCACGCCCCGCCCGCGCCCGCCAGGTGGTAGCTGGGCGTTCGGCAGCCCTCGGGCCCGGGGCTCTCCGGGGACCCCTCGGGCGGCCCCAGGTCCCGGCCGCACAGCATCAGGTCCAGGATGTCCTCCAACTCACTGGCGGCCTTGGCGCTTGAGGCCCCGGCATGGCGCGGTCCGCGCAGGGCACCTGCGAAGGCGCAGGGCTCGCCCCGGTTACTGCTCAGCATGGGCTCCTTCCCCGGCAGCTCGGGGCTGGACCCGAACGCCCGGCCGGCCCCGGGCTGATCTGGTGAGTGGCCGCCGGCCAACATGACGTCCAGCATCCCATTGCCCTCGGGGGAGTCCTGGTACAGCTCCAGCCGGCCCGGCGCCTCTTCCTGCCCACTGGCCGGGGACAGCGGGGCCCCGGGAGGAGCCTCCCCATCACCGCGGTCGGGGATCCTGAGGGGCGGGGGCGGCTCCTGCACGACCTCCCAGCGCGTGCCGTTGACCACCTTCCGAAGCTTCACTCTCCCCACCTGCCCCTCCTCCGCGGGCTCGGGCGGGGGCGCCCTGGCCTCGGGGCTCCGCTTCCGGCAGGGCGCAGAGGGGCTGGGGGTGCTCTGCAGAGGACTGGTCCTGCCTGGCTCCTGCCTGTCCTCGACCGCGCCTCTGTTCATCCTCTGCCGCCAGAGCCGCCGGCCTGGGGCTGTGGGCACCGAGCTGGGCCCACCTGCTGTGCCGCCGCTGGGGGGTGGCCTTGGGCGACTGAGCCGGATCTTCCTGGGCAGCAGCTGCTGGTCCGCAGGAGGGGACAGGCGGGCTGGGGACGGCGCTGGCCCGCGCACGGGGCCGAGCGTGCCTGCCCGGCTGGTGCTCGGCGGGGCGCTCTCCTCTGGGGGACCCTCTTCCCTTCCGAGCTTCAGTGACCTCGCCAGCCCTGGAGGACAGGGGGGCCGGGTGCCAGGCAGTGGTGGTCGATGGTGGCAGCCGGGGGCTACCACTCTGGCGGAGATGGGCAGGGCGCTGGGCTGCAGGCACTCTCGGTTCAGCCTTCGGCCCAGGGGCGCCTTCACCAGCTTCCCGCCCTCCAGCTGCAGCGATTCCAGCTCAGACACACGGAGCTGGCGGGCCGCGGACAGCAGGTCCTGGGCCTCTTCCCGGGATACCTCCATCTCCGACGTGTACAAGAAGTCCACCAGCTTCCGGAGGGTCCTGATCTTCAGGCCCCCCAGCTCTAGGACCACCTTCCGACCCTGCACAGGGCTCTCCTGCTCCAGGCGCTCTGTGAAGAAGGGGCTGCAGGCCGACAGGATGCAGCGGTGTGCTGGCACAGCCTCACCTGGGGGAAGCCACACACCCGTGTCCCACACATGTCCCACACATGGCCCGGCACGCAGAGGGAGGGAGCAGGCTGTGCTACCCCGAGCGCCGCCCCTTCCCTTGGGTCCCATCCATGCAAGGACAAGGGAGAAACCTGCTCCCATGGGCCTGGGACCTTCCACCATTCGCCTTGGCCTGACATTTTCTCCCACCTCCAGCTCAGTCTAGCTCAGCCGGGGCTCCCTTCAGAAAGCCCCTCCAGCCCCCGAGCTGCAGCCAGGCTGGTGCCCCGCCCTGAGGTCCTCCACAGCCATGGGGCGGTGCCACTTCTCTGCCCTGCTCATTCTGGAAACCAAGTAAGCTCAGGCAGTGCTTGCCACGAAGCAGGGCATCGGGTACTTGCTGAGTCCATTTTTATTGACTTACCTAAGGATTCAAAACTGTCACAGAGCCAGCTTATGTCTAAGGACAAGCAAGAGTTGTGGAGGGTGCCAGTTGGGTCCCTTCTCTCCTGAGCTTTGCCCCTGCCTGCTCTGAGGCACCTCTCCTCACTACATGGGCACCTCAGGCTCGTCCATGGCTGTGACGCCCAGACTCACGGCTGCTCCCCCAATCCACATCTCTCCGCAGATGTCTTTCCTGAGCTAGCACACATACACGTCACAGCCAGCATTTTTACAGACACCTCACAAACCCCTCCAACGCACCCTTCCTAGAGAATGAGCTCGTGCTGAGCATGGAGGTGCACACCTGCAAGCCTAGGACTTCGGAGGCTGAGGTACGAGGATCGTGAGCTTGAAGCCAGCCTGGGCTACACAGTGAATTCAGGACTAGCCTGGGCCACATAGAACACCGTGTCTTAGAAAAAAGAAGCCAGGTGTGGTGACCCCAGCACTCGGGAGGCTGAGATGGGGTTCACTGAGTTCAAGGCCAGCCCGGGCTACAGTGTGCCTGTCTCAAAAAGCACCCTAAAAAACAAGTGAACTCATCACACCATTGTCCCCTCCTTCCCTATTTTGTACCTCAAAGTAAGATAAATTCATCCAACTGCCCAAGCCTGAAAACTAGGTCATCTGATTCCTCTCTCCCTTACCCACCATGTCTACTATCCTTTTTCTTTTTTAGATAGTCTCTAGTTTGAACTCATGATCCTGCCTCAGCCTCCTGCGTGCTGGAGGTGGATGCCACCACACCCAGCTCCAACCACAATTTTTAAAGGACTAAGACTTGAATATTGTACGCCACCAGGCACTGTTGTAAGGGTTTCACCAGTATTAATCCATTTATTCTTCACTATGATCCTGTCAAGTAGGTACTGGGTAGAGCTGAGTAACATGGCCACGATTACTGAGCTAGTAAGTGGCAGGTGTAAGATCTGAAGAGTCTACCCTCTTAATCACTCCAGCAAGTTTTATAAATTCTCGCCAAAAGCCCAGACATTACTCTTGATGCCTTAGCTCAGGCCACTGTCCACTTCGGGCTCTATGACCTATGATGAGGCAGTGATTCTTAACCAGCCTGAGTGCCGTTAAGTGGGAATCGGAGCGGGCTCTCCAGCTTAGAATCCTCTGCAGCTTCCTAGTGTCCTGGGAACAAGGTGTCCTGCCTCGGACCTGACAGGAGCGCTCATTCCTCTAGCCCTGGCTGGGCAGCACTTCTCCCACTGAGCTCTGGCCGTAATGGATCTCTCCTGAGCTCTGTGACAGAATTGTGCATCTCTATGTGCCTTTCTCTCGGTCTGGAGAAATCTTTTTTACTTCAGCTTGTTGTTCAGATTCCACTTTAGGGGTTATCTCCTCCAAGAACAGTTACTGCACCCTCCCAGATGCCTCATGTCTCTGAAGGGGGCCCTCTGTGACCCTCAGCCTACATTTTATTACCAATTAGATTCTTAAAGTGTTGCACTGCTTATTTGATTTCTCCCCAACACGATTTCCTTCAGGGGACGGACTTTATCTTTGTATGCCTTAGCAGAGTGTGTAGCATCCAACAGGGAGCTGGTGTGTGTGTGTGTGTTTTGTTTTTTGAGACAGGGTCTCATTATGTAGTTCAGGCTGGCCTTGAACTCCCTATGTAGCCCAGGCTGGTCTCAAATTTGCAACAATCCTCATGCCTCGGCCTTCTGAGTACTAGGATTACAGGCATGCGGCACCACATCTGGCGATTTTTGTGTTTATTCTGAGTGAAAAAGAATGAATCTGAGCTGCATACTTACTAAAAGAACCAATGGGGAAGTCGCTTAACTGGAGGCCTCAATTCAGTCATCTCTAGAACTGGAACCATATAACACTACTTATCTTGCACAGCTGCTGTTGGAGTCAAATGAGTCACTACACGGTGAGCACTCTGCCAACTGTAGGGTGCCATACAATGTCACAATCCTCTTTTTGTTGTTTTGAGACAAGGTCTCATGATGTAGTTTAGGCTGGCCTCAAACTCTCCGCATTTCTCTTGCCTTAGCCTCTGTCAGTGCTGGGATTACAGGCATGTGCCACCATCCCTGGCCACAATCTTTTTATAAATGAAGAGACTGAGCTCCACAGAGATGAAATTGCTTGCTCGTTTGACAGTTACTAAGTAACTGGGACTAAATCCAGGGCTTCTGACTACTAATTTTGAGCTTTTTACATTATACCATGGTCTACTTAATGCTGATTTAACGTTCTCATGTGAGGAGAAGGGGTGGAAATAAGCTACACGTTTTTTGCTCCATCAACAAACAACAAGAATCACCCATTTAGAGATAAGGAAAAAAATTAAGCAACACTTTGGAAAGAAAATGGGAAAACACAATGGTGTCATCTAACATTCATATTGTGGTTAGTATATTATTTTTTATTTATTTATTTTTTGGTACCGGAGATCGAAGTCAGGTCCTTGTGCTAGGGCAGCAGGCGGCAAAACCACTGAGCTAAATCCCTAGCCCTGTGGTTAGTATATTAAAGGCAATGTTCTAAACACTTAACATATGCTAACTTAATTTTTGTAACCATCCCATGAAGATATTATTGACATTTTAGAGAATTTCTATGCTCACAGAATTTTATTTTCATTTTTTAAAATGAAAAGGTAAGGCCGGGGATTTAGTTCAGTGGTTTCGCCACCTGCTGCCCTAGCGCAAGGACCCGAGTTTGATCCCCAGTACCAAAAAAACGAAAAGACAAAGAAAAAGAAAGTAGGGCCTGGTGTGGTGGTGCAAGCTGGTAATCCCAGCACTCAGGAGGCTGAGGCAGGAGGTCTGCAAGTTTAAGCCCAGCTGGGGTGACGCAAGTTCAAGGCCAGCCTGGACTACATATCGAGCCTGTCTCAACAAGAGACAACAAAAAAAAAAGCACAGACAATTTCACTCTTGAAAACACAAACAGCTAGACACAACAGCTCTTTACCAAACACTTTACAGTACTGAGAGGTAATAACATTCTTCCGGTTTTGCCCTTCACCCGAGCCTTGAATTCATTCCATCTTATTTGGTGGTGGTTTGTGGCTGAGTCCTGCCAGGCTCTTACCTTCTGCCTGCAGCAGGACGTCACAGAACACACCGCTCTGCTGCTGGTGATGAAGCTGCACAAAGGCCAAGCGGGGGAACCTCGGGTTCCTGTAGAGGATCTTGGAACTGGCAGGAGAGCACATGTTGGGAGCCTCTCAAGATGGGGTCTCGGTTTTCACAGACCAGATTTCTGCAGGTGAAATCATACAATTCAGAGGCACAGTAATACTTAATTTTTGTCTTTGAAACAGCAGGGAAATTCTGAAAGTGAGAGACAGTGAGTTGAGGACACATCAGTGCAGTTGTGCCAAGCGTATCTCAAGAAAAAACATCCCTGTAGAAGTTCCATGTGGGAAAGTAAGCCTAGATTTGAATCCAAAGTATATGTGTGTGTGTGTGTGTGTGTGTGTGTGTGTGTGTGTGTGTGTTTCGTACTGAGGAGTGAACCCAGGGCTTTCACACGGCTACATCCCCAGCCCTTTTTAAATTTTCAGACAGGGTCTCACTAACTTGCCAAGTTGCCCAGGGCTCCAACTTGTCATCTCCTACCTCAGCCCCACAAAGTCCTGAGTGGCAGACATATTGTCACCAGGCCTGGCTTCAAGTCTGTTAGCCTGGCTGTATGACCTGATGTGTGTGACATAACGTCCTCGAGTCTCACTTTGCTTACCCATGAAACAGGGATGAGAGGGCTTACCTGCTAGGGATGCTTTAAAAATTATGTGAGCTACACAGGTAAGGTCACTTAGCACAGTGTGTGCTGGCACAAATAAACCACACCCCTCAAGCGGCAGGTGTTACCATCTTTCGACTTTCTCACTCCCATAACTGCTGGTTTGACTTCCCAGTTCCACGGGTACAAACCTCCATTTGACACATTTAGGGGCGCTATACTGGGAGTCACATTCTCTGGAAGTCGCTGGCACTCTTTCCACTGAGCTCGCTCCACAGTAACCAGCAGAGGGTGCACGTGGAGAGGACTGTCACAGAAGCAAGGACGCTGCCACCCTTGAAGGTTCAACTGTTCTTGACCAAACCCAGCCTGAGCGCCCCTAACGTGGCAAAAGTGTGGCCTTGCAGTCTGTCCGCCTGGTTAACCACCTGGCTAGCAGTGGAACCCGGCCAGGAAAGCACTGCACTCCCAGAACAAACTGGGCATCCGGACACCGGCTCAAGGGACACCGGCTCAAGCCAAGCATGGCGGTGGCGCACACCTGTGATCCCACCATCTGGGAAGCTGAGGGAGGAGGATCGCCACAAATTCCAGGCCAGCTTGGACTACACAGCAGGATTCTGTCTCAGAAAAGGCCGGGCTCAATTCTGATGCCAGCCCGAGCCGGGGGTGTGCAGCCAGTACAGTACAGGGCCGCCCGGCCTCGCACAGGCCCCACCTGGGATGGCTCTGCAGCGGCTGCGTCCGGCCGTCCTCCTGGGCTGGGGCTTCCGTCCCACCCAGCTTCGCCCCAAGCCCTGCGGCCGCCCCCAGGTCCCGGACCGGGTGGTGGGAAGCGGCGTCGGGAACCCGCACGCTGGGTTTGCTCGGCTACTAGGGACACCGCGCGAGGGCTGCTGGGAAAGGAGGGCTCGGAGGCCCGGACTCGGGGCGCGTCCTCCAGGTCGTCTCCAGCATGCCGCACAGGCCGTGCAGTCCCGCCCCGGCGCCCTCTGATCGCGCGGGCCCCGGGACCCTCATGCGCAAGGCTCTGAGGACAGCAGGCCCGGGCTCTAGAGGCCCGCGCCACACTTCTCGCAGCGTCCGTGCGCAGCGTGCGTCGTGGGGCCGACGTTTTCCCCTCCACGCGCTCATGCGTCTATGTGGATACCCCGTTCCCATTGGTCGGGGCTCCAGCGAGAGCCAATCAGAGCAGAGGAGATGTTTGGGCGGGAGGCCGAACGTGAGGGCGCCCCGGGTGGAGGGAAGATTGCAGCGCTAGCCGAGGTAGGGGGCGTGCTAGCTGAGAGGGATTGTGGTGGGAGCCGACTGGCCCTAGGCCCTCGATGGAAACACCCTGGGAAGGGAGGACACCCCAGTAGGGTGGGCTGCAGGGCTGTGGAAGGACATTTCCGACCTGGCCCTCGAAGAGGTGCCAGTGACCTTAGCCTAAGGTTATGTGAGGCTTCAGGGTGGCAGAGGCCTCTGGGCGCCTCCGTTTGCCCCTAGTCCCCCGTATCTCTAATTTAGATCTTTTCCAAGGCCAGAGGTGCGAAGTCACTGGGCCAGTGTCTGAATTCAGGGTTCTTTTGGTTATTTTTGGATCACTCCAGGGCCTCAGACAAGGGGAACCTCCTCCACTGAACTAAGCCCGGCCCTAATTCAGATTTCTACTGACTCCATTCCACCCTTGAATCTCAGAGAAC